GGGGTTGGGGGGGGGGGAGGTTACTTGGTGAAAATAGACCCTGCCGTTTGCAAGCCGAGTAAAATGCCAGATGTCGGATCCACGCCAAAAAGGGATTTTTATTTTTTTTTAAAGTGGGGCTGGTCTCGCCTAGATGACCCGAAAGCTGGGTTCGGTCACGGATTTTCTGCGTGACCCAGGGGAGTTGCTGCCACTGTTCCCCATCCGTGAAAATGGGGAGAACAAAGCTTTCTTCCACCCTTTGTCTGCTCGGTCTATTTTAGTTTGTAGCTTTTAGCCGTAATTTCCCTGCTCTCAAAGCCCTGTGAGAGCTCTGCTGCTTCCTGTGCCCCAGATACAGGTAAGCCTTGCACCAGAATCGGGAAGGTAAGCATAAAAAGTAAAGATGAGTTTTTCCAGACTGCTGCTAATTACCCTGATACGGTCGCAATTAAAAGGTGGCATTTTCACATGGCCCCAGCTGTCTTTTATGTAATGCAGAGCTTCCTACAGGACAGGTTTAACCAGCATTTTAGGTAGGGTGCAGAATGAAACCCATATTACTAATGCAATCAGAATGCCAGGTGCTAAAGGAAAAGGGAAAAAAAAAAAAAGTGTTTATTATTATTTATTGTTTGTACTCAGAATGCGGTATGGGGGCCTCTAGGAAGGTGCTTCTTGTCCAGCACGGGAGAGAATCCAAATGAGAAATATTTTGCGGTATTTCTTTGTCCTGCAACCACACAGGAGTCCCAGCACGTCTCAGGGGGGGTCTGAAAAGCCACGTGAATTTTTCCCCTGCGATACCCAAGGGAGGTCAAGTGATGTTACCCCCACGATGAAGAGGGAATAGAGAGGACCAGGAAAACCCGGTGAGTTGCTCCGAGAGCCCCTAGGCATCAGTGGCAGAGGCAGGAGGTGGACACGGGTCCCGTCTTTATCCTCACTCAGACCTTTCCTCCATCCTGCAAACCACACCTCGGAGAGGCAGCGCAGGACGGAGGCACAGCCTCGTGTCGTGTAAAAGGGCTTCAGTGGAATTCAGCAGTGCCTTTTCTTTTTCCTCAAGGGGATATACTGCTACTAAAATGTTCAGGCCTCTGGGGCCCCAAGTATCAAGGTGCTATTTTTATAATAACGATGATATCCAGGCCCTGTGCATCCTGAGGGTTAAAAACCACCACTGAGCAGTGTAACACCGTATTCAAAATCAAACCTTGTGGCTTCAGGCAGTCTCCTTCTCGGTGCACTTCAACCCCTACTAAAGGGAAATTAAAAAAAAAAAATAAACCACACGTTATGGGTTTTTTTTCTCAACCTCTTGCTGCCAACCTCGGCAGCAACTCCCATCTGCAAAATACACCCAAGAGACCTGTTCAGAGCAGGATGGAGGGTTTGGCATCCTCCCTCCCTGCCCCGTCCTGGCACTTCAAGGCACGAGACGGGACTTTTGGAGAGAAGCAGAGCCCGCTGTGCAAAGCCTGGGACAGCTCGGGCTGTCTGCAGGAGCATGTACAGCTCCAAAACACAGATGAAAGGCAGTTGCTATGTGCTGGCCTGCGTGTGTGTGTGTGTGTAAAGGGTTTATAAATCTGTCCTGAGACCAGGAAATCTCCTGCGCCTTTTAGATTTAAGAGAAGTTGCCTTCCTGTTGTATTCCCAGATAACGCAGCTCTGATCAAGCCCACTTGTAAATAGCTTAATAGATTTAATCAGTTCCTTTGGAAAATTTTGTTGCTTCCATAGGGTTTTAATGCGGTCCCAGGGAAACGCTCAGAGAGAACAGTTGCCAAAGTTGGCAGCTTCCACCTCTCCAGACCCCCAAATCGCCGTAACCCACGAGAAACCAGACCCACAGGGATCCCACAAGAAACCAGACCCGCAGGGATCCCACAAGAAACCAGACCCGCAGGGATCCCGCTTCTGTGCAGAGCCGTGGGGGAGACCAGGAAACCCAGGCGGATTCTGAACCCGCGGAGCTCGCATTTACATACCGCTCTCTCCATCACCTGTAATCTTGACAAGAGTCAATAGGAACACCCAGGCACGTGGTAAAGCGCTGCCTACCTGCACAAACACCCCAGCTTGGGATCCGCGCTGGGTTTTTCCCCCCCGCCCCTGGTTTGGGGGTTAGATGGGACAGTGGTGGCCAACCCAAGGAAATGCCTTCGCATCTCGCACCCCGGCCCGACGGCTTTTCTGGCAGCGCGGAGAGGAAATCCACAATCAGTCAAAGCAGAGCCGCTGCAGCCCTGCAGCCCATGTCAGGGGGTCAGAATCATAAAGGAATCCAGCGACTAAATATTCCTCGGGGTAGGTTGCAGGGATGAGCTGGGCAAGGGCGTTTCGATCCCGTTGCCTTCCTGGAGGCAGAACGCTTCTCAGGGGGTCCCTTTCCTGCCCTCATGGCCACCAAACTGGGGTTAGTGGGAAATAACGTTGCGTGACAGTGGGGCTTCCATCCCAGCCGGGCTGGGGGTGGCTTTGCAGGACGGGGCAGTGCTCCGTAAAAAGCAGCAGCGAGAAAAAGACTGCAAAGTATCAGACCGGCCCTTCATCTCCCAGTGTCCCAGGGATGGGCAGTGGGAACAAACTGGGGATGTTGCAGCCCCTCTGGGCTGTGCCCAGCCCCATCCCTGCTTGTGTGGCTACTACAGAGCTCACTTAGGAGCCCAACCAGGCTGGACAAGCACCCAACAGCAGGTTCGCTGTGTCCCGTTTTCCTTCCCCTGTGAGGAGAAGTTGGAGGAACTGGGTGAAAACCTCCATGGGGTGGCAAAGGCACAAGCTTGGACTAGTGGTTAAAGCAGGAGCGGGGGAAAGGGGGGGGAAAGGGGGTACCAGCCTGCGCCTTGATTTCCGCTTGCAGACAGGCATGCTGCGGCTTGCCAAAGCCTGGGGGGGCCCCCTTTGCACCCCTATGGGAACCTTTCTTTTGGGGCCATTTTCTTTTTCTTACCAGACCACCCCAAAAAGATTTCAGTGCCCTCATCTCCTCCCTCTGCATTTCCCCCCCCCGGCCTTGAAATTTTGGGGCTCTGAGGTGCGGGGCCAGGGGAGGGGAGGGGAGGGGGGAGCTGCTGGAGCTGTTTGGGGGTGGCAGGGCCATTTCCAGCTCCCTCCTCACTCCCCTTCAGCCCTGTCTC